TGTGTGTGTTTTGGAGTCCTAGTGTGACAATGGAGTCTTGGTGTGGTGCTGTGGGTTAATGCGCCAGACTGCAAAGCTGTTTGAACTGCAACGTTGGTGGTTCAAACTCACCAGCTCCTCCCTGAAAACCCTATACAGGGTCACTATGGGTCAGAATCGACTCAATGACACTTAACAAGTGTGACACTGTAGTGTAAGCACTGAACTGCTAACCACAAGGTTGACAGTTAAACCCACCAACTGTTCCTCATAAATCCTACGCAGGGTCGCTATGAGTCTGAACCAACTCAATGGCACTTAATAACAATAACAACATAAAGCTTTTACCATAGTGCCTGACAGAGGAAGACTCAATACATATTAGTTATTAGCATCAATAGTAACAGTACTGAACAAGAACAGTAGAAGTAAGCAGGAAAAATCAGGATAAGATAACCAAAGTTAGCTGGAAACGATTCTAAGGAGCCAAAGAAACAATTGGCCCCTATACTTTGGCAACACGGCCGGTGGTGGTGCCAATCATTGAGATAGAGAATATAGAAGAAAAAGCAGAGTTTGGGTAGGGAGAGATGAGTTATTTAATTTTTTTAATATGTTGCATTTCAGATGTTTATCTGTATGTAAAGTATCCAACCAGTGTGAAGTTTGGAAGAGAAATTTTGAGCAGGAGGTATAGATTTGGGGTCAACTTATAGGTGGTAGTTAAAAGTTATGAACACATATGAAATCACGGCTAGTAAATATATAAATTGGTAAGACTGGAGTGGAAATTAGAATTCTGGAATACTGAAGCATTTAAGGAACAGACAGTAACAGAGCCAGGGGAGAGAGTTATTGTTGTTGTTAGGTGCATTCAGGATGGTTCTGACTTGATGTGACCCTATATAAGGTCTCTTAGACTTTAAATCTTTATGGGAGTGAAAGCCTCATCTTTCTCCTTCATCAGAAGCAGCTGGTGGATTTGAACTGCTGACCTTGTGTTTAGCAATCCAGTGGGAGGGAAGAGAGATCAAAATCAGGAGATGTTAATATCATGGAGTCAAGCGAGTAGAGGAATTTTAGAAGAAAGTGATCCTCCGTGTTCAGTGTAGCAGATAGACACAGGAAGACAGAGTCACTCTGGAGGCGGGGCTGCTACTACAACTGGATTTCAATGTCTCAAAACATTAGGTTGCTTTTGGAAACTCAGGAATTCTGGGAATTGACTGCTGGGAGAAAGGTCCTGGAACTTGAAGGCAGAAGGCCATTAAGTTGGAATCGACTCTGCGGCACAGGGTTTGGGTTTTTTGTTTGTTTGTTTGGTTTGGTTTGAGAATGTACTGGGTAGAGTTTTAGGAACCGTTTTTTACAACCTGTGCCCTGTGGAGATCAGGGCACTATTTGGCTGAGCCAGTTCAATTCCAATGAATTCCACTAGGTGGCAGCAGCTCAAGAAATGAGTACCGGCAAATTGGCTCTTAAAGGTTGGAGGTGCCACTTTCATGTATAAACTACCGTGGGTACTAAATGCCACTCAATTGGACACTTCAAAGTGATAAATTTTATAAGAATTTGGCCTCAATAAAAATGAAAACTTAAAAAATAAATAAAAAAATAAAAAGAGCACACTTTTTGCTCAAATGGTGACCTCCCTCTACCAATGGCCTCTTTCTAAACCTGACCTAGTGCAGGTGGACAACTCACTGTGTCCACTGAACAGTACAGATAACCACAGAAACCCCACTTCAGGGTATCTTCCCACCTCCCTTGGCCTGTTTTTTTTTTTTCTGTCTTCACTTGCTTCCCAAACCCTTACTTCCTGTGGGAATGAACAGGCTTCTCCACAGGGGGAGGGCTTCCTTATCTCATTGGACCAGCCCTGGCAGCTGTTTGAGGTGGTCCCCTGGCTCAATCCCTTCCCAGGCTGCTCGGGAATGCCACGTCTTCTCCCTCCCAGTTTTTCTGGTTTGCAGGAAGTGCCTCGGACAGATCCAGCCAAAACACAGAGATTCCATCTCCCATCTGGCTTTGCAGGGAGGTCAAGCCTGGCTCACTAGGCTGACCAGTCTAGCGGGATCAAAACAAAGGACAGAGGCCCCGCACCTGCTCAGTCCAGCCTGGCTGAGCTTCCTGGATCCGCGGGAAGAGAAGAGCTGCCCTAAATTTCCCCTTCTGCTCTTCCCCACCAGCAGAACCTGGCCTTAACCTGACCCTCACAGCATCTCAGCCACCCTTCCGCTCACAGCCAGGCTCTCCTCCATCCCCATCACATCTGTCCCCTGCCCTGGCCCAGTCCTACCTTTAGGGAACAACACCACATGGGACTGGGCTCTTTGCCGCTGCTTCAAGCCTTCGTACTGGGCTCGCAGGAGCTGGATGCTGAGGGAGGGCCCTTTCCCCAGGGCCTGAGTTCCAGAGTCCTCAGCCATGAACCGAGACCCCGGCTGCCAGAAGTGGGGCAGGGCAGGGCATGGGCAGGGCAACCCCTTCATCCGGATCCGGGAGTAAAGTAAACAGCAAGGGGAGGAGCCGGAGGGGGAGGGAGGGAACAGGATGAAGCGGGGTTCAAAGGAAAGATAAGTTCAAAGGAAAAGGGAGGGAGCAGAGAAATGCAAATTCGAGCGAAGAGGAGACATAAGAAGAGAAGGGGGGCAGAAGGTGGGGGAATGTACAGGCAAATAAAAAAGTGGGGTGCAGAAATGTAGGGGAACAAGGAAGAAAGGCAAGAGATGGAGAAGGGAAGAGGATGAGAGTTGGTGAGAAGGGAAGAAAGGGGGAAGCAAAGAGGGGAGGAAAGAAGCGAGGAAGAAGGTATTGGTCACAGGAGTGGACTAATGAGGTGGGGAAGGTGCAGAGCCGCTGAGGGGAAGATGGGAATGGAGTGACTGGGGAGTTGGAGATGAAAGGGGTAAAGGATGAAGGGATGGGGAAGGAAAAAGAAAAAGGCAAGCACAGTTACTCGTTGGCGTTCACGGAGGTGTCCTATCCCAGGGCTTTCGATGCTTGATCCTTGAGGTTAGCAACTCCAACAGCTAAGACAAAGTCTCACTTCCTGGCAGAACGGGTGCTGGGGAGTGTCAGGCGACTGCTCAGCTCACACAACTTGGATTTGAGCCTGGACTTTCTCACCGGGGGCCACCACAAGGGAGAAGCAAGGAACCTGCCGGTTTGGTTTGCAGTTGGAAATGGAACACCTGCAGCCTCACAAAGTTGCTGCCTCGGGGCTGTGTACACTGTGACACCCTAGGAAAACCTAACAACAAAGATCTCCCCAAAGACTCCTACTGACCTCCCCTAACACAAAGCCATGAGAAAGTAGTCTTGGGGTCAGAGCCCAGGGGATCCTGATCTATAGCCAACCTTTGACATTTGATGTGCGCCCAGTCTGTCTCAACACTTTCCAACCAAGGAGTAATTTGGCAAGTATCTTATCTACAGACTGGTACACCCTCCCCCATGCTGGCCAGCCTCAATCCTTCAAATTCTAGGACCTTTCTCAACTGCACCAGATTTGACCTATCCCCATTTCAAGGGTAGTAAGTAAAAACCATTTGAACAACTAAGGCCCTAATGTGGTACTTACAGGTTCTCCAATTTCCCAAGGTGTCTACTGAGGTCATAACAGTAGAGTAAAGGCTGAATTTAGGAGATATTTTGGACATTAATATACAGGATGTAGATGTTAGATGTGAAAGTAGAAGGTGGAGGGTAAATCTTAATTGGGTAAAAGGTTGGTAGTTCCATCCATAAAGATAGGTACATTAGAGGGGAAAAAAAATAGAACGGGCAAGATTTGTTTATGATATGTTACATTTGAGGTGCCTAAAGGAGTTCTGGTATGGTGCTATGGGTTAATGCGCCAGCCTGCAAAGCTGTTTGAACTGCAAGGTCAGCAGTTCAAGCTCACCAGCTGCTCCTCTTCGGAAACCCTATACAGGGTTGCTATGGGTCAGGATTGACTCAACGGCACTTAACAACAACAACAAAAGGAGCTCTGGTAGCATAGGTTACAAATCAGGCTGCTAATCTTATGGTCAGCAGTTCGAAACTACCAGCTGTTCCGTGGGAGAAAGATAAGGCTTTCTGTTTCTGTAAAGATTTACAGCCTCAGAAACCCTGTACAGGATCGCTATGAGTTGGAACCAACTTCACCATGGCACATAACAACAACAACAACAAAAGGCCTTTGAGTCATCCAGATGGATTCGTTCGGTAGGAAACTAAACACTTGATAGAAATATCTGAGCTGTAAATGCAGATATAATCATTTGTAAAAGTGATATGGTCCATTACTGGAAACACTTTTCCATCAGGAATATAGAGTTGAGAGAAGTTCTAAGATGGCTTTCTTGTTTCTTTTTAATCTTCCTATTAGTTTTCCAAGACCATGTTTGATGGGCAGAAAAGAGTTCCCTAGAAGTGAAGAGAGAAGAGGGACCTGCTACCCCTAAGAAAGAGGAGCCAGGAGTGGAGTGTGTGTGCCCTTTAGACCCTACACTGGGAAGCTCCTAGATCCAGGGGAAAATGCCAAGACACATGGAGATCTCCAAGAAATGATGAGCCTACCGATGCTGAAAGGAAACAAGGACCTTTTCCAAAGTGGTGCTCTGGATTTGGACCTATAGCCTTCCAAACTCTGAGAGAAAAAAATATTCTGTTTGTTAAAGCTAAAGAAAAAAAGAAAAGAGTTCTTTGTTCCTTTACTTCCTCTACTGTCCAAGGGTCTAATTGCTTTGTCTTGACCTCTGATATATAATTACATTCTAATTACTGTAGTAGCGTAGTGGTTACGAATCGGGCTGCGAACCTTAAGGTCAGTGGTTCGAAACTACCAGCCGCTCCGCGGGAGAAAGATGAGGCTTTCTACTCCCGTAAGGATTTACACCCTTGGAAACCCTGTACAGGGTCGCTATGGGTTGGAACCGACTCGATGGCACTTAACAACAATTACTGTAGGAGGACAGGAGCTCTGGTGGTATAGTGGGTTATACAATGGGCTGCTACCCTCAAGGTCAACAATTCAAATCCACCAACTGTTCCACAGGAAAAAAAATGAGGCTTTCTGCTCCCGTAAAGATTTACAGCCTCGGAAACCCTATACAGGGTCGCTATGAGTAGGAACTGGCTCCACGGCACAGGACCACCACCATCATCAAACTATGCACAGGGTGGTTATGAGTAGGAACTGACTAGCCAACACATAACCACCACAGCCGCCACCACCACTGGAGGAGGGACTGAATGGCCATAATCTGTGGAGCTTGCACAGGGCTGCTTCTTGCCATAGCCCTTGTGCTATTATTATGCGTTATAAAAGTCTCACTCTCGGTTTTTCCATCTCACCAAGACATCCTTAAGTTACCCTAGCCTGGACTGAGTGGGACCACATCAGTAGAGTAGTAACATGCTTCTAGAGCAGGGTTATAAAGGGAAAATGCCCACTCTTCCTTATAGGAACAAAAGTCTTCAGATCATATATGGCAGCTAGAGTCTTGAAATTTGATGAAATTTTCAATGAGTTGTTGTTGTTGCAAAGTACCGTGAGTCAGTTCCAACCCAAAGCATTAACCCACAGCACCAAAAAACAAGCTCTGGGGTTGCTTGGTCTGATATTTAAGAGGTTGTTTTTAAGTGCTGTGAAGTCATTTCCAACTCATAGCAAACTTGTGTAGAATTTCCATAGAACAATTGGTGGGTTTGAACTGCCAACTTTGTGATTAGCAGTCTAGTACCTATCCTTCAGTACCACCAATAAGAAGGTAATGTTGAAAACTTAAAGGCAAAGTTAAAGATGATAGGAAAAGGGAAGTGAGGGAAAAACAGCAATGAAGCTGCAAGCTAAGCCCTACAATGTTCAATAGATTCCTGTGAACCCGGGTGGAGAACTGGTTGGGCAGCAGTGTGGCAAGACCTGGGGACTCTTGGGCTCAGAGGCAGTAACATAGCCACAGAGGACTAGAGTGGAGAGTGAAGCATCCAGCCGATAAGAAGAGAGGGCATAGGCACAAGAACACCCACACTTACAGATAATACCCACTTGACCTGGCTTCAATGACTGGATGATTAGAGCTCAACTAGAGGAAAGAAGAGGAGAGAAAAAAAAAGAGTGATCTGATACAATTTGATGAACTTGACCTACACCTATGAATGCAGTAGCTCAAAAGAGGTAACAAAAATCTTTACAGCAAGGATCATTCCTACCCTCTCCATATACAGAATAGGGATGGGCAACTTGGACATTGGCTACCCAAAATGGAGGGGGCTTCAAAGGCAAGAAGTGACTGGCTTACAAGCTTTCAAGAGGGAACCTAGATCCAAAAGGCACGGAGGAAGGTAGAATCTCCACTGAGTAGTATCCAATCTGTCTAGGCGGGGCTGATGAAAGGAGATGCGGATAGGTCTCTTGTGATACGATAGTGAATAATTGTTATCAGGACTGATTGTGAGGGTTGTAAATGTAAAGGTAGACATTTTATAGCAAGGAGGGGAGCAATTAACTTTCCAGTCTAGGAGCAGAGGGCCCTGGGACCATCAAGGGAGAAGAGTGGAGATCGGGACCCTACCCAGAGAAGCAGTGATGCCTGAGATGGAGGCAGAGATGATGGGTCTGTGTGCTGATGACGAAGGGGGGGGAGAGGAGGGCAGGCTTGTAGGATATACCCTTTGGTTGGTTGATGATGCATAGAGGGGATTGTAATTATGGAAATGAAATGATATATGATAGGATGAATGTAAAACTAATGTTCCCCCATGTAAACTATCACATTATTCACAATAAAACATTTTTTAAAAAAAAGATAGAAAAAGGGGTTTCACAGGCGGTGAGGAAGGGCATCCCAGACTGTAATGCTACAAAAGACAGAAGGTGGCCAAACCAAGGGAGACAAAATCTCCTGCCATACAGAATAGCATCTGAGCAATAGGATTGGGGCTTCAAAAAATTCCTGCAAAAATCCCACTATCATCGAATTTCGTTTTCCACAAACTTTTGAAGCACCCGCATGTATGCAGAAGATGTTTGTCAATATGACTATACATTAAAACTATCTTGAAAGTATTTTGTTTTTTGCTTTAAGAAATACCAATGCTGGAATGTCTTTTCTAAGTACTCTGATTTAATTAATCTGGCATGTCTTTGGAGATTAGTATGTTTCAAAAGTTCCCTCTTTCTGTTGTTGTTATTGCTAAGTGTCCTTGAGTTGGTTCTGACTCATAACACAACCCTGTAAAGGGTTTCTGAAGAGCAGTTGGTGGGTTGGAACCATCGCCCTTGTGGTTAGCAGTCCTTCAGCACCACCCCAGGAGTGTCCTTTATCTAGTCTTCTCAATCTTTGGGCATCTGGTTAAGTGACAGGTTTGTTGTTGTTGTTAAGTGCCATCAAGTCGATTCCAACCTATAGTGACCCTGTTATAGGGTTTACAAGGAACAGCTGGTGAGTTTGAATTGACTTTGCAGCGCATTAACCCATAGGTAGTGAGAAATGAACAGAAG